AAATGCTGAAGGTGAATAAAAAATTTCATTATTAATTAATTAATTGGAACTTACTATCCATTAATCATTACTGACAATATTTTATTTACATCTGATTTCATTAGATTCTAATAATTAAAAGAAAGAATCGATGGATGATTAATTTAATCTCCTAAATTATTTGTTATAATTATTTTTTTTTTTATTTTATCCATATGTGCTGATTTTGTATCAAATAGTAAAATAGTTTTTTTAGCGGAGCAAATAAATTTTTTGGAGGTTAATTATAATTCTATTGACCAGTTTACACATCATGTTTAACGTGTTTAATATTGAGACACAATAAGATATAAGGTTTGAACAAAGGATTCAAAAAACCAAATTGGCTGATATGTATTGAATTTGAGTTCTTCCAAGCCATAATAATAATAAATATTATTATTAATGTTAATATTAATATGATTTTGAACACAGTTCCGCCGTATATCCTTACAAAACAAAAGCTTAATCGTGGTTAAAATTAAATCAACCACAATTAAGCTCCCGTAGTAGTAAAAAGTATATTAATATTAAATACAAATTAATAAAATAATTCGTTTGTATGTTTATAATTTCTATTTCTTTAAATATTATTATTATTCATTTTTACCATAATTACAATCACAATTACAATTGCAATTACTATCTCGCGATCTTTCCCCGTTGTTTAAATTTGTTTCGGAATTTTATTGCCTTGGAAAAACATTCTCCACCTACTATATTGTTTTTAATTTGTTCTTCCCTTGAGCTATGTACGAAGGTAAGCTATGGGAACCTCCCATATTTTCTTCACGAGTATTTCATAAAAAAAAAAAGGGATTTTGTTATTACTATATATCTTTTTCATATTCATCAAAATTTCTATCAATATGCATGTCTCTTGAAATATTCTTTCTTTTTTTTTCTCAATTCTAATGGTCACTGTCACTGATGGATTTTTTTATCCAGAGTTTTTACCATTCCTCAAGAGCATAGTTTCAGGCTCTCTTACATATGATCCAATTGATTCAATGGTTTCTCTCAACCGATATCTAAATTTAACGAAAATAACGATGATGACAAAAGATTGTATATCTCAGCAAATATTGAAAGATAGGTGAAGGTGAGTTTACACAATTGCAAAGCATAATTAAATAAGTTTAGATTCATTTGAAAATAAAAAATTATATTGCTGATTTTTTGTATACATCTTTTTTTTAAAACCTTCTCACACCAAAAA